ACAGTCCCTTGGTCTGGGTGAACAAAGTTTGAAGAACTCTTTATTAGTCTCAATTGAGGGTCCCAGGGACAATAAAAGTATATTCTCCATACTTATTAAGCATGAATTATTTCTCCCCCCAACAAAATACAGCTTATTATTTTTCATTCCAAACTTACAAAAAGCAAATAAGCATTTCCATATACAAAACAGAACAGAAAAAAAGAGGCTTGTTTTTGAAACAGTATAACTTGCTTTGGACTTTAAATATACAACAAATTCAATATGTTTCTTTTAAAGCTAACTTGCTTGTCTTTATTTCCTTCTGACCTTTTTTGGGGGCATTAAAAAACAAGTCAATGACCCTCTTTTCTTTTTTTAAGCAGCCCTTTTGCTAATTCTACTTTCTTTCCCACCTTTCCCAAAAAATATTTTTAAAAAGAAAAAGAAAAAACCCTGTTAACAGATATCTATACCTAAATGTAGTTATATAGTCAAGGAAGAAAATTCTCACATTGGTCACTTATGAAAATGTATGTACCTTGTATCTTGGGTCTACTGCTCTTCTGTCATTAAGTGACTAGCATCCTTATTCATCAGTTTTCTGCATCTTGGGTCTCCTGCTTTTCTGTCATTAAGTTACTAGCATCCTTAATCACCAGTTTTCTGCAACTGTGATCAGTGTTCTTAAACCTTTGAAAGTTGTTTTTTATGCAGTTTTTTTTGGGTTATTTTTGTATAAATTGTTCTCTGGTTCTGATTACTTTACTTTGTATCAGTTCATATAATGTTCCCAAATTTCTCTGAAACCATCCTTTTCACTATTTCTTCTTTGTAACGTTTTATTATATTTATCTACTACAGTTTATTCAGCCATTTCCTAATTTATGGTCACTCATCTAATTTCCATTTCTTTGTTACAACAAAAAGAGCTGCTATAAATATGGGTTATTTTTCACTTTCTTTGATTCTTTTGGGGAGGCCCCAGTTGTGTTATAACTAGGACAAAGGGTATGTGCAGTTTAGTGATTTTTGGACTTGGTTCCATATCGCTTTCCAGAATGTTGAACCAATTCCATAGCTCCATCCTCAGACCCTCAGTGCTCTGAGGTAGATTTTCAGAATTTTAGTTTGTATTTTTCTTTACTGATTTGAAACCTTTTTTTGTATGATTGTTGATAGCTTGCATTTCTTCCTTTTGAGAACTGCCAGTTTTCATATCCTTTGATTGTTTATGTATTAAAGAATGTCTCTTTTCTTGTATATTTGTATAGATTGCTCAGAGAAACTTGATATTTTCCCTTGCTCTTTTAATTTTAACTGCATTAGTTTTGTTTAACACAGAGTTTTTAATTGCATATAACTCTAATAAAGAATTTTGCATCTGCCCAAAAAAGGTGTGTGTGTGTGTGTGTGTGTGTGTGTGTGTGTGAGAGAGAGAGAGAGAGAGAGAGAGAGAGAGAGAGAGAGAAAAAGGGAGAATAGGGAAGGGAAAGAGAAGATTGATTAATTTAAAGGGAACTGTGAAGGAAGTGGAACTGTGTAGAGAGCCTAGAGATACCATAAGAGCAGAGCAACACTGATGGGGAAGGAAATATGAATATAAAAACCCTAATACCTTCTGGGTAATTCTATCTTATAAATGTTATGAATCTGAATTAGGTTGCCAAAAGACCCTTGTAGAAACTTAACAATCTCTATTCATAAATTATATAGTAGAATTATAGATTCCCAGAGTTTTTCAACCTACCTTCAACCTCCTTTTTTTCAACCTACTCATCTCTCAGGAGCTACTCCTCTATCTACCTCAGCCAAGCAGACAAAGTTTAATTCCTCTCACACAGGGCATTCCTTCATACATTTGAAGACAGCTCTTATAACCTCTTATAGTCCCTTCAAGTCTGTTCTCCTTATGAATAAATATATCTAGTTCTTCAACCAGTCCTCATATGACAGCATCATCATCATCAGGCCTGGCATTTATATATCACTTTAACTTTTGCAGACTGCTTTATGTAAGTTGTCTCATTTTATCCTCCCAACAACCTTGTATGAAATAGGTGCTATTATTATCCCATTTTACACACGGGAGAAGTGGGGATGAGGTTAAAGGACTTGCCCTAGGGATCAATAGCCAGCAAAGGTACAAAGCAGAATTTGAACTGGTCTTACTGTCTTCAAGTCTATCATTCTGTCTAATGTATCACCTAGTTGCCCTGCTGACATTATCTGAAGGCCTCTTTCATCTGGTTGCCTTCTTCTGGGTATTCTCTAGCATATTGGTGCTCTTCCTCAAATGGTGATATCCAGACCTGAATACATGTTCTAGTTGTTGTCTGACCAGGGGAGAGAATTGTGAAACCGTAATTCCCATGCCCTGGACACTATACTTCTATGAACTTTGTCTAGGATTATATGACTGTTTTTTTCTACAATGTCACACTGTTTACAGAGATGATGAGTGGAACTATAGGGAAGTGATTTAACACACCTTTTCCAGTAGTAGTAGCAAGTATTTTGGATTTTAGGTCCAGAAATAGAAGGGAAAAGGACTGAGGCTTAGAGGGAACATCCAAGGCAGCTGGCAATTAAGAACTCTAGGACATGGTCTCTAATCCTGGTGGAAAGGTGGGTGGAGAGAAAAGATGACTGCAGAGTAAAAGACTGTTTTTCCTTTCCTCCCCTCCCCTCCCCATCCTTTCCTGTCCCTTCCCTTCGCTAGGCAGTGGGGTTAAGTGATTTGCCCAGGGTCACACAGCTAGTAAGTGTTATGTGTCTGAGACTGGATTTGAACTCAGGTCCTCTTGAATCCAGGGCTGGTGCTCTATTCACTGTGCCACCTAACTGCCCCTAAGACTGTGTTTTTCTACATAAACTTCTATCTAGTCACTTCTCCCCTACCTTGTTTTCATATAATTGATTTTTTTGCACCTGAGTGGAGGGCTTTGTATTTTCTTTATTCAGTGTCATCTTTTTAGATTCAGTCCATCTTTCAGTCCTTTTAGATTCAGTCCTTATCTTTCTAAATAACATCCCCTGGCATTCATGTTGTGCTTTAAAGTTCACCAAACACTTTACTTATACTATCTCATTTGATCCTTACAATAATCTTAGGAGGTAGGTGTTTTACTGACCTCATTTTACAGATGAGGAAACTGAGGCTCAGGGAGATAAAGTAATTTGCCCAAGGTTACAAAGGTAGGAAGTGACTGAGGCAGAATTTGAATCTAGGTATTGCTCGCTCCAAATCCAGCATTCTATCTACTATACCAAAGATCTTTTTGGATTTTACTTAGACTATTTATCTTAATAGCAGTCATTCAAAGCTTTATATAATTCACATATGTGATAACCATGCCATCTGTCTTCATTGTGCTAAAATGATATAATTGTCTACTCTAGTGAGATAGCATAACATAATGGATAAAATTCTAGATTTGGATTCAGGAAGACCTTATTTCCTACCTTTCTAATGCTTAGTAGCCTTGGATGACATGAGCAAAGCCCTTAACAGCTTTCTTCCTAGTTTTACTAGAAAATAGGTATAGTAAAACCTCTAGGACCTTTCTCACAGGATTGTTATGAGGCTTGCCTAAGAATGTATACATGTTGACAGTATTAATTGAAGTTCGCAAATGATGCAAAATATAAATGGCATTTATAACCAGATTTATGAAAGTTTAGGACAAGTACATTATATAATTGTATATAATGCATTTCAAATTCTATAACAAGAAATGTATATAATAGAAAATAGGGCAACATGTGGCCTGTGGCTAGCAGAATTGAAGTTATTAGCTACCAACAGCTTAGAGGGATATCTACCCCAAGAATGTGAAGACTTCCTTCAGTGCGGTGGGTGGATGAGAACAATTTGTTCCAGTGACCGTAAAGGTGTCTGAAGCAGGTGCTTTGGAGCTTTTTAGAACTTGGTCAGACATCGAAGGTGCTAAGGTAATCCACTATATCCTGAACCATCACCAGTTGTCCTGACTTTTGTCTTGCCACTGAATTTTGATAACTTTGGAACACAGTGTAAGGCTGATGACTTTCGTGCAACTCTGCCTCACTTAAATCCAGTTCACATACAAGTCAAAACATCACCCATGATGTCATTGGTCCTCTTCAAAAATGAAGGACGAACAACAACAATAATTTTTTTCTGCCAAAACACCTTATATCTGTTTAAGATATATAGCATGGGTGTAATCTACATCAGTGGAGGTGCCATTCATACTGATGTGATAATGGATACTTAAGATATTGGATGAAATAAATTGTATTACACCATAGATTTATGTTGAATAGGAAAAGATGGTATACTTTTTTTCCCTGAATGTATCAAATGAGCATCTGATGAAGCAAATTGGGAAAACTGCCTTCAGCAAAAACCTTTTTGGAATTGTAGCCACAATCAAAGACTTCTGTGTACTCTCACTCACTGTGGGAAAGACAACAGGTTCCACTAATGTTTCTTTTTGGTGTGACACATATGTTAGTGGTGGTAGGTTTTTGAGTTGTTCATGTAAAATCTCTAGAAACTTTTGCCTTTATCATCTCCCATTATTCCCTCTCTCATAATGTTAGATGTCCTTCGTCATTAAAGGAGAGCTCTGTGCTTAAAAGCTTAGCTTTGTGGAAGATTTAACTAGCCTGTGTTAGGTGACAGAGCAGACAGAGCAATGGGCAAGGAATCAGGGATTGTGTATGAGAGAGAATGAAAGAAAGGAGGAGGAGAAATGGAAAAGAGGGGGAGAGTGTCCAGATATTTTGTAAAAAAGCTGACTGATGAACATTCATGCTTTATAACAAGCTAACATGATTTTTATGAATTCAAATTATAGAGAGTATTTCTGCCAGTTGACTGAACATGAAATAAATGGATTAACTTCTTTTCCTAGATGGTAGTTTGTCAACATATATATAATAAATACAATAAATAAAAGTAAATATAATCTTAAGAAATGGTTCTTTCCCCTTGGTCAATGGAGATAGTCATCTGTTAACTACTTTCTTTTCAGCTTTTACGGGAATTGAAGCACCCTAATGTGATCGCATTACAAAAGGTGTTCCTTTCTCACAGTGATAGAAAAGTTTGGCTGCTATTTGATTATGCAGAACATGATTTATGGGTGAGTTCAAACTTCTTAATCATATTTAGGCTTTTCTCCTTGTAGGATTATTTTCTTTGTGTATGTGGTAGAGGTAGGCTAATCTAGAGAATCAGAAATCCAGTCTGTGTGTTTATTGTTGTTAAGTGTTAAAATTTTATGTATATATCTCACACACACAGATATGTATATATGTGCATATATATTTGTATAATATCGATTATAATTTATTTAATAAAAATTGGATATTACCTTATTTTGTTTATGTGATACTCTACATTACTATGTCTAAGAAATGAAGTTAACATGTTTTTTATATTTGATAATTAATAAACTTAATGATAAAAAATTGAAATTCATGTTTACTTTGTGGTACATACTGTAGTTCAGATTTAACTAGTGTTCTGCATTTGGTGTTGAGTAAATTACTTAACTTCTTAATTGCCCCTGGGCAATTATTTTAATACTAAAAGTTGCTGAGAATGTGCTAACTCACTTTGATGGAGAAAATTTCCTCATCTGGAATTTCTCTATACTGATCACAGGGCTAGTTCCTATCCTTATTTATATATAGTTCACTTTCCAAGTTAAAGTTTAGCAAATATCACATCTTGGCATTTTATTTACGAGTTAGTTTCTCTTTATAGAAATTTCTCTTATGAATTAATGTTTGATTTAGTATGTTATACAGAAGAAGCCAAAAGTTCTACTTCTTGTCCAAACTTTTTCAAGTACTCTAGAATATTGGCTCTTTAAAAAAAAAAAGGTGATAGGTGGAGATACTAAATGTGGAAATATTGAGATCTGGTGACAAGTCAGTCAGGAAGCATTTATTAAGTCCCTACCATGTGTCAGGCCTTGTGCTAAGCACTTGGGATACAAAGAAAGGCAAAAATAGTTCTAGCACTTAAGGATCTAATAATCTAATTAATTGTTAAGTGTAATGACAAAGCTGAATTATATTATAAATGGAGTGATAAAAGGTCTTTTGTCATCCTGCTATATATAAATATATATTTATAACAAAATATTTCTATATAAATGTTATATAAATGATGTATAATGATGACAATGATATATAAAATGGCAGTGATGTTAAAAAAAGTTTTACAAATCTATACTACATTTTAAAATTTTATTGATGTTATTTGCTTTTATTTCACGTTTCATTTAAAAGTAAATCCAATCGGCTTCCCCATTCCCAGCAAAGTTTCTGAGACTTGCAAATTTCACATTACTTATGGTAGATATTTGTATGGGTTTTTGTCTAGACCTATAGAATAAACTATGATTTACAAATATTATCAACTAAATGAATCTTTTCTGCTGTTACAATAAACCACTAGGACTTTCTATAAAGAATATGTTTTACTTATTTTTAGTATTTTCCAGCATAATTTGTGAATTTTGATAGGTGACTTTATTTATCTCCTAGCAGTTCTTAATATACATTTTTGTTTGTACTTTGGTACATATTTAAGAAAGATAACATATGGACAGAAAAATTTAATCTTAAGCCTTCTCTTACCTCTAAAACCTTTAATTCTATAAATATAGTGGTCCAGTGTTATATCAGTTATGTGAGATAAGATGATAGGTGGTTTTTTGTTTGTTTTTTGTTTTGCCAAATTTATCTACAATCCATTTTGAGACTTAAATATTTAAATGGGAAAAGATGGTATTTGAATAGAGAAGAGGCCTATTAGTAACATTTTCAGCTATGAGACTTAAAAGTGAGACAAGAGGAAAGTAATAATAAAAGAGCTAACATAAATTTATCACTTTTTGAGCTTTACAAAACACATTGCATTCATTGGTCCTCACAAAACTATGAGGTAGATACTAGATATGTTATCGTATAGAAGTTAAGATGGTTGTGTCTTACACATGGCCACATTGTTGGTAGATGTCAGAGACGGGATTTAAACCAAAACAAAAAACTTGCTAAGAGGTAGGGGAATTACAAATATTAAATCCAATATCTTAGAATTATAGTTCAGTACTCTGGTCCCTTATGTGCACATCTCAGTGGAATTTACTTTCATAACTGTGTGACTCTCAGTGACTGACTATAATATGAGCCACTGGGCACGAGTGATTAATTATGTGGCAGAGGAATGTAAATTATGATATGCTGAAGGCTACCAACTATGCAATATATATTTTATTGTGAGGCAAAATTTTGCTATCGTTGTTAATTGATGCTACAGAAACAGGATTTTGTTTTTGTTAACTGGGAGTTTTTATTTCCATAGTTAACAGAGTAGAGAGAAGCTAGATTTTCTCTGTTAGGGAAACATTCACCAAAGCTATCTTATTTTAAGGGTATAGACTCGGAATGGAAGCAGCCTGTATTTGGGCCATTACTATATATCTTGCCTCATAGCTGAAAATGGTGCTTTGGATTGTTCATAAAATCTTCCTTGAGTGGTTTTTTAAAAATTCTTTCTTAATGTCCACAGTAAGATTTACCAACTTTTGTTACTGTTTTAAAAGGAATCTTTAATTGTCCGTGTTTATTCATAATATATATTGAATTTTAATTTGTCTTAATAATTGAATTTCTTTTTATTACTTACTGGTCTTGAGCGATCAAGAATTTAGAAACTGAAGAATTATAGCATTGTTCTTCTTTATATGGGTGGGGGGAATGGACGTGTATGGAAATTTTTGTTTTGCCAGGTTTGTACATGAATAAAACAACTTTTATAAAATTTCTAGCACATTATTAAGTTCCACCGAGCCTCAAAAGCAAATAAAAAACCGATGCAGTTGCCAAGATCGATGGTTAAATCACTGCTTTACCAGATTCTTGATGGAATCCATTACCTCCATGCAAACTGGGTGCTTCACAGAGACTTGGTAAGTACTGTTCATTTTGTCAGATTAATTATATTAAATGATTCAGTTACATATTTTTAAAAAGTATGTATTTTGCAGTTTCTCCTATTTGTTCTAATTCTTCTTTACAACATGACTAATGTGAAAATAGGTTTAATATGAAATATATATATATGTATACATACACACACACACACAGCCTATATCAATTTGCACGCCATCTTGGAGTGGGGGGTGTGGAGTTATACACCATCTTGGGGTGGGGGAAGGGAGAGATGGGGAGAAAATTTGGAACTCAAAATCTTGTGGAAGTGAATGTTGAAAACTAAAAATAAATAAATTTATTTAAAAAAATAAGAAGTACATATTGATCACTCCTGTTCTTCCTGTTATTGTTGCTCATTATTAGTAAAAACTTCAAAAAAGGAAAACAAGTGGAGTTCTCATTGTTTCTATCCTCAAGCTCTGAACTGAAACAATTATACTGTATCCGGTAAAAGGAATTCAGATTGCATTTTCAACAAACAGTGATTTACCACATGGTGTATATACTTTTGTTAGGAAAAAGCAGGCAGAATTTAAATGTATTCTTTTACGTGAAAAAGCTTTTGTTCATTGGGAAATATTGATAATTGTGCCCTACATTAAGTGATATAATATACATAAAATGCTTTGCAAAATTTGAAGCACTGTATAAATGCTAGCTTTAACTATTACTACTAGTGCTGCTGCTGCTGCTGCTACATTTGGCATGTGGAAATTCTGTAATGTAATAGTTTGCTATATTATCTGGGTTTTTTTGCTTATATACTTCTCCCTCTCTACAAATTACCTACCCTCTTCATTTGTAGCATTTTCTTTGGATTTCTTATACTTTTGTTAATTTTGTTAAATTGGTAGGTTTGTTTGTAGGCACATGTGCTTATAATTATAATTTATGTGATTTTTTTAATAGTTGGTGCTTGCTTTTGGTTTTGCCCAAGACTGTTGAAAGGTAGTCTCCTCGTGAATCATTCTTTCAGTTTTTGGAGGGTACTGTGAATATGATTTTACTGTATTTAATGTATGTACATCAGTATAAGCTATTCAAGTATGCTCAAACTTTTTCAGTTGATGAGTAAATGTTTATTATCAAAAGTAATGAATGAGATAAAGAGTGCTCATGTAGTACCATCTGGTATGGAAAGATCCTTGTTAATCATTTCATGCTTTTTCCTATTGGTGCACATTCCTCAGTTCATCAACATCCGGGTTAGACGGTTGAGTTCAATAATTTAAACATTTATTTAAGTGCCTGTCATATTCAAGTCACTTTACTAGATACTGTGGAAAAGGGGGGGGAAATAGCCCTAACTTCAAGGAGTCTATATACTTTTGGAATTTGGAAGGTTGGTGTAGGAGAGAACATACTAGGCACATAGATAAATACATACCAATTAATCTGAGGAGCAGTCCTTTCCAGAACAAGTGGCACCTTGGAGAAAACAGGAGTGGAGTTGCAAAGGATGTGTATTCTAGGAAAGGGAATGACTTTAGCAAATGTGGCAATAGGAGATTTAGTGTTAGGTTCAAGAAACAAGTGGATTTAATTAAACTGAGCTAAGTGCATCAACTACAAATATGTTATATAATCTCATTTGGACCTCTCTTCAGTAAGGCAATCTGTTTATACTCCCTAATATACTCCCTTCTATTTCCCATTCTCTACAGAAGATGTTATGGACATTCTCTTTTCTCAAGAATCCCATACATATCCCTCCTGCTATGCTCTCAGCATAGGACTTTGCTTTATACTGTAAGGAGAAAGTAGAGAGTATTGACTGTGAGTTCCCTCTTCTCCCCTTGACTATATCTTAATACTACTTGACATTATCCCCACATTCTTGATTCGTTGGTTCCTGTCTCTGATAAAGGTCACTTCTGATACATGACCCTTTTCTTTTCCAAGGCCAGTTTCTCCACGTGCACCCTTGATCCCTTCCCCTCTCATCTTTTTCAGCACGTTGCCTCCATAATCATCTCTTCTTAATCTTTGATCTTCAAACCACCTTTGTTTCTTATTTCCTTCCCTATAAATATACCTAGGTCTCCCTCATCTTTAAACCCCTATTAGACCCTACCATCACCTTAAGCTATTTTTCCTATATGTCCTTCCCCTCACAACCAAACTCCTAAAAAAGCTGTCTTCACCTGTTGCCTGCCCTACTTCTCTTTTCATTTCTCAATTCTGTAATCTGACTTTCAGTCTCATCACTGGTCTCTCTAAAGTTAACGGTTATCCTCTTAATTGCCAAATGTGATGTCTTTTTTCGTCCTTTTCTTCTTGATTTTTCTGCAGTGTTTGATACACAGTTGACTACTTTGTCTTCCTGGATACTCTCTTTTCTTTGGGTTTTCCTGGCATTTCTTTCTCTGACTCTTTTCCTGTCTTTCTTCTCGGTCTCTTTTGCTGGTTCATTATCCATATTACAACTTCTTACAGTTTATAAACCCCTAACACTCTGTCCTCAGACCTTTTCTCTTTTCTCTGTACACTCTGTAACTTGGTGACTTCATCAGCTCCCATAGATTTAATTTTCATCCATATACAGATGATTCATGGGTATATGAATCCAGATCTCATCTCTTCCTGAGTTCTACTGAAGACTGATACTTTTCTGTTGGACATTTAGAACTGAATGTCTTATAGGCATCTTATATCTTAACATGTTGAAAGCAGAACTCATCTTTCCCTCAAATACACCTTTCTTCTAATTTCTTTATTTCTCCTGACAACAGTACCATCCTTCTGATCAATCAGGTTTGTAATCTTAGCATTATACTGAACCTCCTCAGTCATCATCTCCTTACATATCTAATTGCTTCTCAAATAATTTCTCCTTGTATCTGTTTCATTTCTCCTTATACAACACTTCTTGCATCTGTTTCCCCCTTCTCTCTGCCTAACTTCAAGGAGCTTATATTCTTTTGGGATTTTGATGTTAAGATCCACCTCTTGGATCTACCACTCTCCTGGACTATTGGAATGCCCTTCTAATTGATATCCCTGCCTCTAATCTTTTCTTATTCTAGTTCATCCTGTATACAAGTGCTGAAGTGACTTTTTTTCCCCCAAAGCACAGGTCTGACCATGTTATTCCCCTGTTCAGTAACCTCCCCTGGTTCCCTCTTGCTTTTAGGAACAAATACATTGCTTTATTTTGACTACTGGCCCCAAGTTACCTTTCCAGTCTTCTTGTACATTACTTTCTTCATATCTTCCCATACTCTCAAGTTGAGACAAACTGGCCTTCTTACTGTTCTTTACACATAGTATTCCTGTCTCTTTTCTCCATGCCTTTATGCTGGGTGGCCTCCATGTTTGAAATCTCTCCTTAGCACTTATCAGAATTCTTTATTTCCTTCAGAACTCAGCTCATTTGACCTTCTTTATGATTTGGCATGGTCTTGTATTTCTTTTGTATATTTTTATATGTACTTACATATGCACATGTTTCTTCTGATAGAATGTAAGCTACTTAAAGGCAGAGGAACCATTTCATTTTTATCTTTCTATATCCTAGTTCCTAGCACAGTGTCCAGCACACACTAAGCCCTAAATAAATACTTATTGAATAATTGGTATTCCATTTGGCATAGAACATAGTGTGTGAATAGTAATAGTGGGACTTAAAGTCATTGTTTAGGTGATGAGGTTGATGCCAGTTTGTGGAGGACTAGGCTAAGGAACCTGTATTTTGTCTTATAAGCAATATGGAATTACTGAAGGTCTCACAGCAAAACACAAAGATCCTTGTTAAGAGGGGGGAAAGTCTCTTTCAAAGTAACTAGTACAAATGTCATCTTGATTTTTTTTTTATTTTCTCAAATGGCTGCCATCAGTCTCTATCATTGTACAATTTGCCATGATGCATCTAAATTTTGAGAGCTTGGTGTATGAATAAGTTTATATTAGATTCCCTGATTGAACAACCTATTTTATGTAATTTTAGAGTTGGAAGACATTTTATAGGGTCATCTAGTCCTCCCATCCAGCGCAAACTGTTATCCTCACTTCACATCATTTCTAGTCATCCTTTAGGCTCTGGTTCAGAGGGAACTTAATACTTTACAAATACAGCTTATTTCATTTTTCAATAAGCTACAATTGTTAAATTATTGAGGCTTAGATCAGAAAGGGTTTCTAAACTCTGTATGATCCTTGTCATTTTTCTCTGGTAACATTCCATTTTGTGTTAGTACTCTTGAGTGCCTTATGGCAGGCACCCAATATAAGTTAGCAATATTCCAGATATAGTCAGATTAGTGGAGAGCTGAGTTGGGACTGTTTTCTCCCTTCTTATAGATATTACTTTTATTAATGCAGTCCAACTTTGTGTTAGCTTTTTTAATAGCTGGTTTATAATGTTGAGTCATGTTGAATTTGCTATCAAGTAAAATACTTGTCTTTTTTAACGTGACTTAATGGTAAGTCATGACCCTCCCATGCTTTTACTTGTACATTTGATTTCTAAAATCTAAATCCACTTATCCCCACTAAATTTAATTATGTTAATTTTAGTCCATCACTCTAGCTAACTGGAATATTTGTGATTTCTGACTCTTTGTGACCATGGACATGTCATTCGCTGAGTCTCAGTTTTCTTATCTGTAAAATAAGGACAAATGCCTACCTCACAGTGGTTGTTTTTCTTTTTACTTTTTCTTTCTTTTTCTTTTTTTTTGATGAAGCGAAATTCAGATGAAATAATATGTGAAAAGTTCTTTGCAGCCTTTAAAACACTATATAAATGTTGGTTATTAGTCCACTTCACCAAACATTTCAGTTTTGTGGTGTATAAAATGGAGATGATCATTATGATACTTGGACTACCAACTTCATGGAATAATATAAAGTTAATTATAAGTCTTAATGCAGCATAGAAATGGGAACAATTCCTTTTTACTTGAAATTAGGGTCAAGGTTGTTGTTTTGTTGCTTCTTCTAACTGCTGAGATAAAATTGACAACAAGGCAAGTCT